GCTAAAGGCATCAAATATGGTTTCAGTCATTGCTTTCTCCCTTTCCTTCCCTTGTTCATTTACAAATTTCATAACAGCAACTTGGCAATTTCCATATTGCTTCTCATTAGCAGAGCTATTTAACCAATATGTGGCTTTTCTCGCTCATAACCTACAGATGTGTCTTTTGATCTAGAGCAGTCAGTTTGGAAATATGGGTGATTTCATTTCTATGACATTAAAAACAAATTCATTGCAAGTCTTTCTTTCTTTCTTTCTTTCTTTCTTTCTTTCTTTCTTTCTTCTCTGTCTTTCTGTCTGTCTGATCTCTTAAAGTATTGTTATGATTCAGAAATCAGTATGCTGCCTGAGGCCGGGATGATCTGAGTAATTGGAAACTTCCTCAAAATAAGACCTATACTTTCAAATGTAAAACATAAAATTCCTAATTCTGATTGCTAGTATGAACAGGCAGACCCATGGAATCAATTGCTAAATGATAAGTTAGCATGTATGTAAATCCCATTGATTCAATGGGCCTACTCTAGTTGGAACTAACCACTAGATTTAAGCCAATGCAATCACATGTTTTGGCCATTGCAATATATTTGCTAACTTTGATATACATAATGAAATACAATATCATCTTCAATCAGGAGGATTTTTCTAATCTGCTAAAGAAAGTGTATGCCCCAATTCTTTATTCGAGGTAAAATCCACTGATCCTCAGGACCTTAATCCAAAATGCTTTGCCATGCTAAAGGATGGATTTGGACCGAGTCAACCCAAGACCTGAATGACTTGACCCAAGTTGTTCTCAAGCCAGTGGATTAAGATGAACTAGGATCATTAAAATACATTAGGATGTTGATTCTACATGCTACTTGTATGTTGCTGCATCTGCATTTTCTCACTATTGACTTATATTTGAAGCTGTGTGCAATTGTAGGAACTCATTGCGACACTTGTATTTATTTAAATGGGATTTGCTCATGGCATCTAAACACATATAGTCTGGTGTTGTATTAGTGACATATCCAAGTGGAAATCCACTTTATGTCTTCTTTTTTGGTCATTTCAGAGGTTGGTAGTCTTTTCCAATACCCACTACCACCAATACCCTACCACTACCACTATACTGTGATAGCCCCACCCATATGGTCATCCCATTGTTGGTGATAAGGGAAGAGGATCAGAGAAGAATCCGACTATACTGTTATAACCGATTGCAGGCTGATAACATCATTTGTTGAGATGTCTGGAGGACCCTAGCAGATCTTAGTGGGACATGGGGACACAGCCAGATGCTTCTCTGTTTCTGTACTCCACTTTTCCACCAGTAGTGGACTGTTTATGTGTGTGTGTGTGTTTGTGGAGGGGAAGTTATCACAGTGCTGTAGAAAGAAAGTTCTGAAGGTGACGATGGAGAGGCCATAATGGAGTCCCACATACTAAACTCATACTCTACACTAGGTCTGCACAACTTGTGAGTCTCCAGGCATTTGGACCTCCAATTCCCAGAAGCCGTAGCCAGGAATTCTGGGAGCTGAAGTCCAAAAAAACTGGAGGGCCACTGGTTGTGCAGGCCTGCTCTATACCCTACCATGTAGGATCTTGGCCACAGTTTAACACTGGACTTTTCTATCCTCACAGTGTTGTACTACAGGTTGAGCTTCTCTTGTCTTTAATTCCAAAATCTGAAATATTCCAAAATCCAAAATTGCCTATATACCTATATGTGATATTTTTGTTTTCTGATGGGCCAGTGTATAAAAACTCTGTTTCAAGCACAAAGTTATTTAAATATTGTGTATAATATTACATTTGGGTTAAAAGTAACATTTAGGTGAAACATAAATGAAACATAAATGAATTCTGTGTTTAGAATTGAGTCCTTCTCAAAGATATGCAATTATGTACATATATGCAACTACTGGTATTTCAAAATAACAAAAATCAGATTAGAGATACTTAACCTATCAAATGTGATACAATTAATGCTTCCAATCTTTTCTTCTCTTACTTTTTACTCATTCCACCTTGAAACAAAGGAATTTCACTGCACACTGGGGAAAGTCTGAAGGCCTTCGTCCTATGACTATAAACTGATACCAACAGAGCTCTATTTATATGTGTGTGTGTGTGGGGGGGGGGGGGGGGGTGTCTATGTACATAAATTGCATGGATAACAGAAAACTTCAGGTGATTAATTCTTAAATGCCAGCCACTAGAGAATATTATATTTCATCTTTTTTCCAGTTTGGCATCTTAATTTTGATGCCAGTACTGTATGTTAAATAGTTTATATAATATTTATGCACATGCAGTGGGTGGCTTACTGTCATTTTATTGACAAGGAGAAACACTTTGTCAATAAAATGCAAAATTCTCGCTCAAATCGCCTGCTACTTAGTGTCACTAATTCAGGGTGGTGGTGGAAGAGCACTCTACTTAAGACATCAACGTGTCATGGAATTACCACCGCTAATCCTAGCTAAATCAACTTAAGCCATCAAAGTGAATTTGCTATATCAGAAGAAAAGCACAATCAATGTTTGTTCACAGAATCCACTCAGCGTTTTAGGCTTCTGTAGCCCATTTAGCATGGTGCTGCTTAAAGCACATTCCTTTTGATGACCTATATAAAACACTTGAAATTGTGTGTGTGAACTTACTGTTGAGTTGACCTGAGCAAATGAATTCCATGGCCATTTTCTATTGGGATGATGAAAAACATGCAATCATTCATGCACATAGGAAGTCTTCCCCTGAATATTTTCACTACAAATATGGTCAGGACTCATTCTTGGATCTTAACCTGGATCTGATCCAGAACCATGTTAGATCAGATCAAAGGTCTATTTAATTCAGCAATCTATTTCCTACTGATCATAGGAAGCTGGTCTACAGGACATACATTCAACAGCCCTCTCCCTTATGAGTTGCTGATTCGGGAGGAAATGAATAGCTGTCCTGATTTCTAACTGTTGATAACTATGAATTTGTCTAATTACATTTTGAAACAGTGGTGAGGAAAATATGGCTGAGAAAATGTGGCCACATACAACCCAAACCAATGTTTTTCCAAGCCTTTTATACCTCCAAAAGCCAAAGACAAAAAGGTCTCTTAAAAATGCTAAAAACTGAGATGATACTGTAGTTTCTTCTAGCTTTCATTAGGTCTCACTAAACTTTCAAAATGGGACTTGTTTTTGAGCAGAGACACATAGAATTGAAGTTTGACTGACTTTCTATGGCAATGATTTATCATTTCAATATGATAGGTTTGTTTTTGTAATGGTTTGAGCCTTTTGAGGGAAAAATATCTTGATCCCCAACCCCCCCGCCCCCCAACCCCGCAAATAGCTAGAATTTGTTTTACTTGGTTCTTTCCAGCAAATTACAACATGGAACTTCACCACCAATGCACTTCGATTACAACACTGGGTTTTTTGGGGCTGCAATAATTGCAGACTAACAAGTGTGAACCTTTGACCAATACATTTAGAATCTGTTTGTGGCCTTCCAAATCAATATATCAATGGATGACTTCTTGTACACTAAATGCTCTAACATCTAGCTAACTAACTAAAAAGACTAAATCATAAAATCACATGATCCTACATTATTGTGAGACTTCATTTACTATAATGTAATAAAGAGAAGTAAATATCGTTTTAAAATAATTTCAAATGCTGCCATTTAGAAAAGAAGATTGCTCTTAAAGAACAATTATCATAGTCAATGTGAATTCCCAGCCTTGGCCTGAGTAGTGAAAAAGGCCAACATCAAATGGCTTCTTTCTTTGTCCATAACCAGGATAAACAGAACTCCCTTCTCCGTTCCTTTCTTTTTCAACACTTCATGATTCCAGAAGATTGTTTTGAATAATTTTTTAGCCCTCTGGAGCTGGCTTTTGTCCATTGGAGAGAAAGGAGTTTCTGGTGGAAGGAGTGGGATCCAACCCCTAGACTCTAGATCAGGGGTCCTCAAACTAAGGCCCGGGGCCAGATGCGGCCCTCCAAGGTCATTTACTCGGCCCTCGTTCAGGGTCAACCTAAGTCTGAAACAACTTGAAAGCACACAAACAACAACAACAATCCTATCTCATCAGCCAAAAGCAGGTCCACACTTCCCATTAAAATACTAATAAGTTTATATTTGGTAAAATTGTTTTTCATTTTAATTATTGTATTGTTTTTAAGTGATGTTTGCAGTACAAATAAAATAAAATTCATTTTTTTCAAGTTATACTCCGGCCCTCCAACAGTTTGAGGGACTGTGACCTGGCCCTCTGTTTAAAAAGTTTGAGGACCCCTGCTCTAGATGATGATTGATGCTTTTTAAAATATCGTGGGGGTTGTACCTAAAAATGACTCTACTGCTGTTCTTGTTTTATTTGGTTCCTCCTGGTCTACAATTTCTTGCTAGTATAAAAGTGTCTTGCTGTTAGAAATGTGTCAGGTACCCATTTTGTTTCTGAGGCAGAAGTAAAGGCAACAGGGTAAGTGAGCTGAGAAGGGTAAGATTTACATGGCAGCTTTCTGTTTGCTGAAGTGCTAGAAACTGGCATTAATATTAAATGGAGCTCAAAGTCTGTACACAAAGAGCCTACTGATATCAGCAGGACTTACATTAGTTATATAACCCATGCCCATTGTCAATGTCATGACAATTCCTTGACAAATGTTTGCTGAAAGTGATCTCTACCACCATTCCTCATCCTAGTGATAAACAGATGTGCTAGTTCATAGCGCTCACCATGCCAAAATAATGGCTATAGCAACTGGGGATGGTATTGGTCTAACACAGAGGTGTGAAACATGTGGTCCTCCAGATGTTTGGGCCTCCAACTCCTAGAAGCCCTAGCCAGGTTGTCCGATGACCAGGAATTTTGGGAGCTGAAATTCAAAATACCTGGAGGGCCATAAGTTTGTCCCCACTAATCACATCTGGAGAACACCAAGTTGGAAGAGACTGGTCACATTGCTTGTGTGTGTGTGTGTGTGTGTGTGGCCTCCTCTCTACTCTTGATTGTCCACCCCTTAGAATGGATTAATACTTCCAGGAAAATGACTAATTCAGGATTAATGCTACTATTTGAATGGGCTTTAAATCTTTTAAATATCTCATTTCCTTATTGACTGGTTGTAGCTTTAAAAAGAGCTATCCCTTCTCTTTTTTACTGTAATCATTAAGGAGAGCCACAATAGACCCTTACAATGAGGTGTTTCATACATAGTCTGCAAAAGACATGTCTGAGCAGAACAATTAAAACACAGTAAGATTATTTGGTGAATGATAGCACAAAGATAATCCAATTTCCAAGATAAGCAGAACAAGTTAAAACTATTATTCCATTTCCTTTGTTCCTCAATTTGCTTGCCATCGTGCCTGCTTGGCAAACAGGATACACAAAAAAGTTTGTTTTTCCTCATTATTTGCCTCTTGGAAGCTCAAATTATATTTCGGGGGGAAATGACATTAGATCCACAAAGACTGCAGTCACAGAAACAATTTCATCTGGTCAAACAGAACCCTTCCAAAGAACTGTGGATAAATAGAAAGAAATCGCAACATCACACATTTCAATGCTGTTTTCTGGGAGCTGAAAAAGGCAACATTTTAGGAGTCTTTATCGCTGTCTGTGCCACCATACATATCGGCCAACTTTTTAAAGCGAGGTCCCCAATCGCTGAGGTAATCATAGTCCTGGTCCCCATCAGTAGTCACCGACTCCAAGGAGCTGAGAGACTCTGCCACGGAGCCATTGCCTTCGTATGCGTATGTTGCCAATGAGTCATAAGGAGGTGCTGTTGGATCCGTGTCGTTCTCCTTTAACCTTTGGCTAATGAAATCTCTAACATCTGTGTTATCGCGAACCACCGGTGTCCGGCGTGGCATAAAAAGTGTTTCTGGCACAATGTCTCGGCGCAATTTATTGTCTTCTATGGCTTCAGGATTCCGCAGCGTGCCAATATCAAATGCTTGGGTGTCTTCCTCTCCGCCACCTTCGTCGTTGTAGCTGACAATGTTGTCTCGGATGTCCTCTTTTGAAATGATCAAAGGCTCTTTCTTCCGTTGCCGTCTCAGGGCTGCAAACAACACCACTGTCACTGTAAAGGAAAATAAAATGAAATAAAGCATAGCTGGAAGACAGAGGAAGGGAGGAAAGGGGAGTTAATTTTCCACCCAATTAGTACAAAAGAAAAAAAAGAATTCTGTATTGCTTGAACTTCGCCTTTTCTTTTTAATAAGAAGCCCTTCCAGACTGTACACTCCAAACTTTATACTGCAACCAGTCTTGCTGTGATCACTGTGGGAGTTGAAAATAAGATAAATATTAGGAGGAAAAGGCATTTTCAAGCTAAAAGGAAGATGAAGCTCAGCTATTCTTTTTTTATCAGCAGTAAATGTCTTTTCTATTTTTTTTTACTTTGTGCAGTGAGGAAACTATTCTTTTGAAATCACAAACATAGTAGTTTCAAGGCAGACAAAAAGAAAAAGAAAATGAAAAACTAAAGGAGCCAGTCTCATCGAATGACAAACGCTGAACTCCCAAAATGCTTTGGAATTTGTTCTCTGCAGAGAACGTACAGCACTTCTCAAGGTGAGATGCTGTGTTAGCAGTGTTATATAAAGGGGGAAAACTGAGTAATTAGATTTTTTCTTTCTTTGAACATATGTTGATGTCTTTATTTAATGCACACCCCTATCTATCTATCTATCTATCTATCTATCTATCTATCTATCTATCTATCTATCTATCTATCTATCTATCTATCTATCTATTTTTCAAATATTCTCATCTCTTTTTCTAAACCCACTGGCCCTTAAAAATGTGATGAATAATGTTTTAAAGGGCTCCTAGTGGCTCTTTGGAAGAGTGAAAAGTTGAGATCTCATAGAATGATCCATGCAGCCCATGGATTGAACTGGGTAACACCTCTCCCTGAAATGTGGAGGGGATGACCCCATGTTCAGTCCACAAGTAAGGCTGGATCCAGACAGGCCTTAATCCCGGGATAACCTGCATCTGGAAAACACGGATTTTCCTGGCAGCCTGTCCACACCCACCACAGAAAGAGTGCACTTTTTGGTGGGTGTTCTCTCGGGACTAGCTAAAGAGAAGGTCTGAAGCCCCTATCCTCCCCACAAGCTCCCAGACTTCTTAGAAAAGTAATAGAAACTTATGATCTCCATTAGAAGTCCTGGCAAGCTCTCCCAACGTGTAGAAATGATGCAGCAGGAGAGGGAGGGCGATTCCCCCCCCCCCCCCCCTCTTCTGGTACATCGTTTCTACATGCTGGGAGAGCTTGCCAGGACTTCTAATGGAGATCACATAAGTTTCTATTACTTTTCTAAGGGATCTAGGGGCTTGGGAGGAGGAGGTTGGGTATTCCCACAGTTTACTGGGCTAAAATAACCAGGAGTAGGTCCCCAATCCTTTGCCTTTTGTAGACTGAACAATAAATTAAGTGCTACACTGTGTGTTCTTTCACCATGCATTCCTGTGATGATTGCTGGTAACATGTTAATTAATTAATTTATTATTTATTTAAAGCATTTATATGCCACCCTTCTCACCCCGAAGGGGACTGAGGGTGGAGCACAACATATAAACGGCAAACATTCAATGCTGAAACATATTAGACCATACACATACAAAAGCATTAAAATCACTTATCTTGACATTAAAATCCACTAGTTAAAACTGTCTCAACAACCATATTGAATTTGGTTGGCATACTAAGGGTTACTATCGCTGCCTCATTGCACAGTCCCAAAGGCTCGGTCCCACGGCCACGTCTTTATCATCCTTCTAAAGGACAAGAGGGAGTGGGCTGATCTGATCTCATTAGAAAGGGAGTTCCATAGTCAAGGGGCAATTACTGAGAAGGCCCTGTCTGTCATTCCCGCCAAATGTGCCTCTGATGGTGGTGGGACCGAGAACAGGGCCTCCCCAAAAGATCTTAATCTCTGTGGTGGTTCATAGGGGGAGATGCATTCTGACAGGTAAATTGGGCCGGAGCTGTAATGGTGCAGGAAAGCCATTCCAGGTATGGGCTGGCTTGAAAAGACTTGTACAATGTGCCACACTTCTCTCAAAATAGGTCTCGGCAGAACTCCTTTACGGACTGGATTACAACCTAGAGAGGATTCAATCCCTCACTGACATAGGAGCTACCAGCCGCAACTCAAACATTCATTGCAAGTTTCTTCTTGTCTCCCCTCCATATTGGTTTTTGCTACATGTTTACATTCTGTGTCACAGTACACAGCTACTCAAAATCTCACAGTGTATTTTTTTAATCCAGCCTCTCTAATGTCATTACAAATGAAATTTCACTGACGGAAATGAATATTCAAATTGGATTTGTGCAAATCACCAACTGAGTCAAGCTCTAAATATAACTTCTGTTCTTGATACTTGTTTTCTTCTTCTTCTAGCAGCAACTTGTAAAATAAGCCCTCTTAACGCTTGATGAAACATTAAAATAAACATAAAGCTAACATTATTTTCCCTTCCTACTCTCGGCAAGTCTTAGCATTATCTAGGATTTTGTTCTCTTCTCCCTTCCCCCAAGGCTTCAGATTTCTTTTTCATTCTGCAAGTGAAATTCACCATATGACCAAAAACAAACACACAGACAAAAGAACCCACGAAAGAAAACTGCTCTTGTTACAGCTAAAAATGAAAATGGTACTTCAATTCTTTCCATGTCTTTGTTTCACACAGGGTTGAGCTTGCATACACAGTACAAAGCCTGAAAGCAGATTGCGAAAAAGACAATGATGTTACTAACAGCTATTAATTGAAAACCATTGTGTTCTGCATTTTTCTTTCAATTCAGCTTAAGTACTGGAAGCTAAACAATTATCATTTTGGATTCCGCACTACTGACAGCAGCGTCCTGCGTAACCCAATACACAGAGCCCCAAATCTGATGCAGCAGAAGAAGCAGCTGTTTGTGGAAAGGGGTTAACTAAATGGCACAGCTGGGTTTAAAGAAGCTTTTGCAAACATCTCTATATTCCTGCTTATATCTAGCTGGGCAGCCATGGGTCCTGCCATGACCAGAAAGCGGACATTGCAGGTAGGTACCAGAAGTCTATAGGACAACTAGGCGCTGGGGCTGAGCAGCTGGCATGCTCACAAAGGGTAGTAAAATTGGATTACATGGTCCTGATCTAGGCTTCTACACTGTTTGTTCAGTCTATAGTTGTGATTTTGCATGGACTGTACAGAGTATATCTTTATGCCTCTCTTTGTATTTTCGGCATCAGTCATGTGGCTAAGGACTTCATGACCTTGAGCTGAAGAAAATGAGGGAAAGTGGAGGGAAAGGTAGAGCTTCATAGGGTTCTGTCTTTAAAGAAGATGAAGAATTTACTCACTCCCATCACACTAAGATCACTTCCTCCAGATTCTAACCCAACTATCCATTTAATTTCCATTAAGTGGACAGGTGATGACTTCTCCCATTTCAAAGATACCAGCACACTTTTAAAAAGAGGTATCCTTTAAGGCAGCTGCCTATAAATCCCTTACAGTGGTTCTCAACCTGGGGTCCCCAGATGTTTTTAGCCTCCAATTCCCAGAAATCCTAATAGCTGGTAAACTGGCTAGGATTTCTGGGAGTTGTAGGCCAAAAACATCTGGGGACCCGAGGTTGAGAACCACTGCCTTAGACTGAAGCACCTTTCTTAAGGTGGCACTGGGGTCATTTGCACTCAAGACCCTTGACTGAAGCAGAAGCATCTTTCTTAAAGCAACACTTTCCTTAGGGTTATTTACACTGAGATTTCCTCCCACTGTCCCACCAGGATTTCCATTGTTGATTTTTTTTTAAAAAAAAAATCACGCCAGATGATAGGAAGTGGTTTTAAATTAGCCCTCATCTTTTCCAGAGTCTTTGCATTGGTGACTGTAAGAAGTGGTTTTGAATTAACCCCTTTCCAAAGCATCTGCATTGGCGATCTGGGGAAATGGGCATTTTGGCTCCTTCCACACACAGCGGTCTATCTCTATGCAGGGAATTTAAAAATAAGTCACTTGCCAATCAACTCAGGAATGTTGGAAAAACCAACCCTTTACAGTGGTTCTTAATCTGTCGGTACCCAGGTGTTTTGGCCTACAACTTCCAAAAATCCCAGCCAGTTTACCACCTGTTAGGATTCTGGGAGTTGAAGGCCAAAACATCTGGAAACCCACAGGTTGAGAACCACCGAGAAACTGCAAAATACTTACCTCCACAGGTGAAGCTTGTGCCATGTGAAGGGCACTTGCCATTTTTTAAATATGTAGAAAAGCTGATTTTATTGTCCTAAATTGTGTCATAATTGGCTGTGTGCGGAGGTATAAGAAAGGTGTTTGCTTGTACTGAGTTCTGATTCAGGTCAGCATATGTCTGACTGAGGGGCCGTCCACACAGTCCTATATCCCAGAATATCAAGGCAGGTGTGGACTCAGATAACCCAGTTCAAAGCAGATATTGTGAGATTTTCTGCCTTGATAGTCTGGTATATAGGCCTGTGTGGAAGGGCTCTGAGTCCAATGACTACAAGAAGATCCAGAGGCGGCCCTAAGTAATTTTCAACGGTAAGCAAACAGTATTTTGGCATCCCCCCCCCCTCCAACCAATCACTGATATATATTTTCTGTTCGTCGAGGGAGTTCTGTGTGCCATATTTGGTTCAATACCATAATTGGTGGAGTTCAGAATGCTCTTTGATTGTAGATGAACTATACATCCCAGTAACTACAACTRGCATATGTCAAGGTGTATTTRCCCCCCAAGAGCGCCTCAAGAGCGCCTCTGGGCAAAATCAACTATACTGCAAATGCTTACTTTGCATAATGGGTTGAGCCACCCCTGGGTAGATCTGAGGATGATATGGTATCTATGTGGTTACTAATATTTCAGTAAAATGGGTTAAACAGCTGGCAGGGTGGCAAATGTGTAGCAGGCAGCTGGTTAGATTAAAATTGACAGGCATTTTTTTTGCAAACTAATGGGACCGAATTGCCCATTCATAACCAAACCACCACAAAATACTTCATATTACAATAGAGATAGCCAACAGGGGCCTTTCACACTCAAATATTATAGCATTATGGTTTCAGTTTAATTGCTGTAGCAGCATCTCATAGAATCCTGGGGATTACATCTGGCAGAGGCATTACAGCTCTCTGGCGGAGAATTCTAAATAATCCTCCCTAAAATGTCAATCCTAGGATTCTGTAAAATGGAACCATGACAGATTAAGTGGAAACTGTATGATAATTCTGTACTCTGAAACAATCTCAGCAATGTATCACTGGGAAAATTAATCTCCTCCTTTGCAGCTACTATGTGGATTGTAGTTAAATTCAGAAGGAGGAAGGAAACTTACTGTTTGAATCATGATATTACTGTCCTTGCAACCATAATGTTTTGTCCCTCACTCCTTGCTTGGCTATAGCATTATTCAGGGACACTTAGGAGGAACGTGGGAGAAAGTATAGAAGTGCCAGATCTTTTGAATGATATACAGCTGCCCATGACAATAGTTAACTCCATTATGTATGCTCCACTATGACATTAGTATATAACACACATGCACTCATACTTCATCTCTTCCTTCCCCAATTCATGCAAGTTCTTTACCTAGCAATATAATGATGCAGAGGAGGATTGCGATCAGAGCGCCTGTGCTAAGGCCAGTTGGGTGGATCAGTGCTTCAGCATTGCAGGAGAGCATCTTGCCTCTCTGGTCACAGGCACATACTCGAATTGTCACTGTCTCTGTGCTGCTCTGAATTGGGTACTCGTTGTCTGAGATGACCACAGGCAGGAGGTACATATTCATTTCATGTCTGCTGTATCTGGTCCTCTTGGTGTAGATCCCAGCTGTGTTATCTAGAAAGATATATCAGTGTTTTTAGGCATGTGCTTATTTTAAAAATCTAATGCAATGAAGGAGAATGAAGTTGAAAAGTTCAGCTTACCCCTGTTATCCTGAAGCGTGAAATTGGAGCTGCTGGCTACTTCTGGTGCCAAAGAGAATGAGAACTTGTGTCCACCAAAAGCATCGTCTTTATCAACTGCACTTAGAGTCTGTATGAGCTAAACATGAACAAGGACAATATTGCATCATTATTGTGATATAGGGATGTTAATCCTTGATTACTAATTATATTCTTGCTGCTGTAAGATACAGAGAACCAGGGTAGGAATAGTTCATTAGAAATAGGATGACTGTGTTGTGCAATGTATTTTCTGAAAGGCTGTTTAATTCATTCAGCTATCAGATCTGTAGACACAAATGATCTGGCAGTGCAGGGTTCTTCAGGATGTAGGTCAGACATCCAGACCTGCAAGTAACTCATATACATTGGAAAATCAGACTTCTCATTGCAAAACAGAAGAGAAAAGAGAAAGAGGAAGTGGAGAAGAGGGAGATGGAGATGGAAAAGTGCCAGAAGCAACCACACTGAACTATGTTAAGATGTAGTGTCACACTTTGAGAGTGCCTGCTGTGATGGGAGGGCAAGACAGTTTTGGCTTCATTTTATTTTGGATTGGTGGCACCTCCTTGCAATGCAATGTGTCAATTGTTAGACACAAATCTCATGCCTGACACATATCAGATAGCTGTGACGTATCTAGTTAGTAGCTAGCTGCATTAAATCACTACTGATCGCTGCATTAAATTGCTGCATTAGATCACCAGCCCAGGTTGGGGTAAGCTCCCGACCATTAATACTCTAGCTTGCTGTCAACCTATGCAGCCTGAAAGACAGTTACATCTATCAAGTAGGAAATTTAGGTACCGCTTTATGCGGGGAGCAGGCCCATAGCCAGGATTTTGATTCGGGGGAGCTGAGTTTGATTCGGGGGGGGGGGGGGCTGAGTCTGAGTGAAAGAGGGTCTACCCTAGCAAACCTTTTGTATTGTTACCCCAATACCCCCATGCATATGGGATATATTGAGCATGGTGATCAAATCATGATATGAATAAACATAACAGTTTAAATAATGCACCAGTAAGGCCTTTTCGCGGACCACCATGAGAATTTGGGGGGGGGGGCTGAAGCCCCTCAAGCCCCCCCCGGGCTACTAATTTATGATGTCATAAATGATGTCAAAAATGATGTCCTTGCAACCATATGTCATAAATGATGTCATAAATGATGTTGCAGCATGGGAGTGATCCTGGACTCGTCGCTGAGCCTGGAACCCCAGGTCTCGGCGGTGGTCAGGGGAGCTTTTGCACAATTAAAACTTGTGCGCCGGCTGCGCCCGTACCTTGGGAAGTCTGACTTGGCCACGGTGGTCCACGCTCTGGTTACATCCCGTTTAGACTACTGCAACGCTCTCTACATGGGGTTGCCTCTGAAGACTGCCCGGAAGCTCCAATTAGTCCAACGAGCGGCAGCCAGATTACTAACAGGAGCGGGGTACAGGGAGCATACTACTCCTCTGTTGCGCCAGCTCCACTGGCTGCCAATTAGCTTCCGAGCACAATTCAAAGTGCTGGTGTTAACCTATAAATCCCTAAATGACTCCGGCCCAGTTTACCTGTCCGAACAGATTCTCCCCTATGAACCATCAAGATTGTTAAGATCTTCTGGAGGGGCCCTGCTCTCGGTCCCACCATCCTCGCAATCGCGTCTGGTGGGGACGAGGGACAGGGCCTTCTTGGTGGTGGCCCCTCGACTCTGGAACTCTCTCCCACTGGAGATTAGAACTGCCCCTTCTCTCCTGACCTTTAGAAAACAGGTGAAAACCTGGCTCTGGAAACTGGCATTTGACGAGTGAGTCAATAACTCGTGACTACACGGACGGATGGTGATGAACTACGATTTCATTTTGATGACTTGGCCTATGTAATTATATGATTGTATTTTAGTATTTTAATGTTTTAATGTATTACGGGATGTGATGTTTTTAAACGATTGTCTGTGATACTGTTGTTGTGAACCGGCCTGAGTCCCTTTGCGGAGGTGAGAAGACCGGTATATAAAAGTTCAAAATTAATTAAATAAATAAAACCTTCCAGCAGTGTGCAGAAGAGTGAGGAAGTACTCCATCAAAGGACTCGGTGTCGCAAGTGAACAGTGAAGCAGCAACTCCCCCTGTGACCAGAATTGAGCATACCCTCATGAAGCCAGAAAGCTGGAATGTTAAATGCCTCTAGGTCTGTTTATATATGATGTATGTGTAAATGGCATTGAATGTTTGCCATGTATATGTGCATTGTAATCCAATCTGAGTCCCCTGCAGGGTGAGAAGGGCAGAATATAATACTGTAAATGAATAAATGAATGAATAAATAAATATACCATTTACATCTCTCTCTTCAAGCACATGGTACACACCTACCTGTTCAGCTTTTGCATTTTCACAGACATATGTCTCGTAAAACATGGGGAATTCAGGGGCGTTGTCATTCACATCCAGAACTTTAATAAACACTGGGACTCGGCTGCTTTCTTTAGGGTTGTCTGAAAAACATAAAGAGAAGACCATGGAAGACTTTTTCATTACAGGCATGACTTCTTTGTTAGTGAACTGTATTCAGACAGCAAACTGAAAATACTAAGTAACATCATTTGCATGTTCATTTATTTGTGCAAGTTGAGAGTGTTAGTATGTTAAAATCGGAAACACAAAATTATAATGATCTGAGAAAAAAGATAGATTCTCTACAACTGGGTGACAACTGTGGTCAGTGAAGAGGAGGAACAGTCTGAGGGAGCCAAACAGACTACTGAATATGTCAGAAAACAAAACAGATTACAAGTGACTGGAAGTCTGCTTCTGACTTTCAATAATGCATTCTTTTTACATTAAAGAGTGTACGACATGGGGGTGCAAATCAATCTATTTACAGAGTGAATTGCTTCTTCTCTTGGAGACTTCAAGAAAAGGCTATTCAACTCCTTTGTTTTGAACAAGAAAGGGGCAATCTGAGGAATCTGGTCAGACTGAGGGACGCAAAAGCAGCAGGGGAGCAGTACATGTGGCCTATAGCTCAAACTTTTTTCACCCTCTGTTCTAGACAAATCAGAATGTTCAGTTTCAATCCAGTGACTTTAATCTTTTTTCCTGCTCAGTGCTACTAGGCTACCACAACTCCATGGAAAGCCTGACATTTAAAGTCTTGATTTGCCACCCATGCACTTTTCGTGTTATCACCTAAATGTCATGAAATCTTATTTGTGTTCTTTACAATTCTAATGTGAAATCTGTGTGACTGATACACACAAACACAGAGAGAAAGTGGCAGTGTTCTTCCATTGGGCAGTGTAAGATTTCCACAGGCAGACGTTTGCTACAGTTCCTCACCCACCACCCATGTTTTTCCTGCAGTAGTCTCCCCCTTCATTTGACCATTCTGTGTCTCCTGGAAGGGGGATGTCTGAAGAAGAGTTTGGGTATGTCTTATTACCAGATGCAAGCTTTTCCACAGAGATCTGATGAATACTAGGAACTGGAGGTGGTTTGGTAGCTGCATTGAAGGAAGGTTACACCAACTTTCTCAATGACCCAACAAGGTATAAGAAGATGCAATGTTGACTTTCGAATGCATAAGCCCAGTATGCTGTCGCGCCTGGGGCTATAGAGAAAGAGGCATGGACGTGACATCTTTCCCCAGGGGATTGCTTCTTGCCCTCCTTTAGGGAAACTGGAACTCCCAAGAACCAGAACACAACAGGTAACTCGAAATGGTGTTTATTATTGACAATGAGTTCACTTTCTTAGGCACAAACTTGTTGTTTCAACAGGGAAAAACACTTTATAAATGTTAAAGTCCAGAGTCCTAGGAGTTATAAGCTGAGAAGCTTTTCCTGTTCCCTCTCTCTCAATGGCTGTGAATTTTGGAGCAAACCACAACCCCAGTTCAGTGGTCTATGTTGAAGGACAAGACCTTCCTATGGTGCCAAAAAACTGGAATGAAGGCACCTGAGATCTTCACAATGTCATTCAGGGGGTTTGAATTCAGGGGGTATAAGACTCAGGGGTAAAAAAACCCTAAGAGTTGGTGGTAAAAAATGCCTTGACCAGGGGCTTTGGGCCAAGCTTTGCACGCGTCGATCCAATGTGTCTTTTTCTGAGGTAAAAAAAGGTGAGAGAGATACCTTTCCTTTCTCCCTTGGAAGGGGCGGAGCCTAAACAAATGAACTGGGGAAACAAGCCAATTGGTGCACAACAACAATAAATTGACAGCTATAATAACCAATGAAATTTAACTATACATATACAAGGTAGACAGGAATAAAATGACAGTTTAAATCCTTCAACTAACAGTACTACATATATGTGGCGCCACACGTGCCGTCACACCCAGACTGATAATTTTATTGAGGTTTAAATAATTTGCATTGGGATTATGGTGCAGAAGAAGAATTAATATTAGAATACTGATTGGAAACATAAGCTGAGATCTTGCATTGTCATCATAACTAAGACGATGGAGCTCCATTACTGTAGTAACAATGTTCTCATGAAGCCTACCTCTCAGCTTTAAAGCATCCCAATGAAAGCATTTCTGAAGCACTGGAAATAAAGACAATTGGAAACTATGTCCACAACATGCTCCCAGTCTTGAAAATAGGCAATTGGAAGGACCACTTGGGCACCATGCAACTAGAAGCACAATGTATATGCTATCTTTATTTCTGTCCCATTCTCCAGAACTTTGGAAACACTTAGATGATGTTTCAGAAATACTTGTGCCAGGATACTACCAGGCTGCAAAGGCAGATTTTATGGAGGTTGCTTTTGATCTTTCATGACTGTTAACATGAATCTCCAGAAGTTACAATGTCATAAATCCATTTTTGATAGCATAAATGCTGAACAGTATGCCAACCACATTTTAATTAGAAGCGATAGTTTCATTTGAACAAGGCTGAAACTATTTTGTGCACTGAGAAAAAATTGGCTCATATGTCCCTGACTTGCATCTGTATAAGGTGAGATACAAACAACTGGCTGTTTAAAATAATCTCTCGCACTATAAGGAAATTGATTGGTAATGCTTTTTTTCATGAGCTACAAGAACAGACATGTGAATGGATAGAGAAGAGGCATACCCTACTTCTACATGTTCTCTGCTACTTTAAAGAGCTTCATGCACTAAGCACAAAAGTCAATATGTAGGTTTGTTATGTGTGTTCCTTTCAAACCACTCAAAGTTTCTATAATCGGGAAAGAAATTCAAGGTTCTTAATTATGAGAGCCCTGCATGTATGTTCAGTGTGCACCTCAGTGGGGGGCAGATGTATGTACATGTCCTGCTCTCATATCTCTCGCTCCCATTATCCCCTATGTTGTTGTTCATTCGTTCAGTTGTCTCCGACTCTTCGTGACCTCATGGACCAGCCCACGCCAGAGCTCCCTGTCGGCTGTCACCACCTCCAGCTCCTTCAAGGTCAGTCCAGTCACTTCAAGGATGCCATCCATCCATCTTGCCCTTGGTCGGCCCCTCTTCCTTTTACCTTCCACTTTCCCTAGCATAATTGTCTTCTCTAGGCTTTGCTGTCTCCTCATGATGTGGCCAAAGTACTTCAACTTTGTCTCTAGTATCCTTCCCTCCAATGAGCAGTCGGGCTTTATTTCCTTGAGGATGGACTGGTTGGATCTTCTCGCAGTCCAAGGCACTCTCAGAACTTTCCTCCAACACCACAGTTCAAAAGCATCTATCTTCCTTCGCTCAGCCTTCCCTAAGGTCCAGCTCTCACATTTGTAGATTACTACAGGGAATACCATGACTTTGACTATGCGGATCTTTGTTGCCAGTGTGATGTCTCTACTCTTTACTATTTTATCGAGATTGGACATTGCTCTCCTCCCAAGAAGTAAGTGTCTTCTGATTTCCTGGCCACAGTCTGCATCTGCAGTAATCTTTGCACCTAGAAATACAAAGTCTGTCACGGCCTCCACATTTTCTCCCTCTATTTTCCAGTTGTCAATCATTCTTGTTGCCATTATCCCCTATGTGGGTTACATGAAAACACTAGCATGGGATTTCTGATGCCTTGATATAGGGAACACAGCGAGGTTTCCTTGCACCCTGAATGTACCAGCCATCCTGGGTATAAATACTGCCAGTGGGAGTAGTGGTCAAGTAGGATCCTATCTGGTTGTTGTCTCTTCTCTCTCTTCCACTTCATAATGTGGATATGTCACTGTTTAAAGTGTGTATGTGTATTTGACATCTTGTTCTAGCACATTGTGTTTATGTTATTATTCTACTTGAAGGGGCTATATGGAGGCACAAAAGAAGTACTCCTTCCCAGTAATATGAAATGACTCAGTCAATTCTCACACATCATGTCTTTCTCAGTCTCTTGAATCTTTAGACAAGGGGTGCAAATTTGTACATATTTCAGTCTTACAGATGAGAATGAAAAACAAATTCAGGAGTTATCTCCTCATGAAGTGAACTTATGACAATTCCGTGCAGTTTAGGGGAATGGTTTCTCACATTTCAGGAATTTGGGGGTGAATTTTTATTTGAACAAATGCAACATCTTTATGTGGAATAATGTAACTGGAGAGATGTTCTGAAACACAGTCATATAAAGAAATACCAAAGACTCTCAGAAAATGTCAGAATATGTTAAGAAACCCTTTCTCCCTGAGAATATAACCTTTGTAAATATTATGTACATTGTTAGTTCAAACTAGACTTAAAACACAGGAAAGTTGTTCATAGAAAATGACTGCTATAACATAGGAGAGATGCTTTTAGTACGTCAAATTTGTGAAACAAGCCACTGATTTATTGTCGAAGGCTTTCATGGAGGGAATCACTGGGTTATTGTAGGTTTTTCGGGCTATATGACCATGTTCTAGAAGCATTCTCTCCTGATGTTTGCCTATGGCAAACATCCTCAGAGGTTGTGTGGTCTCTCACTCCCCTTGAAGGCACAAGTTCGCAGCTTGGGAGTTCTCCTGGATTTATCACTGAGCCTGGTATCCCAGGTTGCAGAGGTGGCGAGGGGAGCATTCACACAATTAAAACTTATGCACTAGCTGCACCCGTAACTTGGGAAGTCAGACTTGGTCACGGTGGTCCACACTCTCGTTACATCTAGGATAGACTACTGCAACACACTCTACGTGGGGTTGGCTTTGAAGACTGCTCAGAAGCTTGAAATAGTCCAACGAGAGGCAGCCAGGTTAATAACTGGGGCAGCATACAGGGAGCATACAACTCCCCTGTTATGCCAGCTCCACTGGCTGCCAGTTTGCTACCAGGCACAATTCAAAGTGCTGGCTTTGGCCTATAAAGCCCTAAACAGCCCCGGCCCAAATCTCCCCCTATGAACCATTGTGGAGATTGAGATCCTTCGGGGAGGCCCTACTTTCCGTCCTGCCATTGTCACAGGCATGATTGTTGGGGACAAGAGACAGGGCCTTCTCGGTGATTGCTCCCCAGCTATGGAACTCCCTTCCTGGGGAGATCTGGTCGGCCCCCTCCCTCCTGTCCTTT